TTTTGTTAGTTGTGGCTATGGTTTTGGCTCCTACAATGAATTAAAGAGATGAGTTTTGTTTGCTTGAACATAATTTTGGGCATGTGTTTTAGCTCTTACTGATTGTTGTTTGGCCACAGACAACAATTCAAGATGTAATTGAATAGTGGGTGTGAGAAGGAGAATGCTTTCTTTTGCTTTGAACGTGAATGAATATGTACATGTAGGAATGGAATATTGTTGTCATGGAAATCAATGCATATCAGGCATACTATTGATATTAATTTTGATATGTTCGACACACTGATGTAGAGATAAGAGCGGGATCGACAACGAACTATTCACATTAGTTTTTTCAATCACAAAATTGTATGCTGTCGTTTTACTCTCGATTTAAAACTCACTTTTTTCATAAAATTTTGATGTATTTTTTTTGTCGTTCTGTCAAGGTTTTTTAAATCTTTGAATGATTGATAGAACTGAGTAGTGGTTGTGTTGCTATATTTTTTTAGTAGCTTGATGAATGGGGTGGAATGGTATTAGCACGTTCTTTTTTCTATTGTAACGGTACCAGTATGGAGGCGGAATTTAGAGCCCTTTTGAATGGTTTGGAGCTTCTTAAATTGCATGGTTTTATTGGTAATCAGATTGAGATAGAATCTGATTCTTTGGTCTTGGTTTCTACGGTGAAGGGAGATGCTAATTGTGCTTGGCCTTATTGTGGTTTCCTTTAAAAAATAAAGGGGCTGTTTGGTCAGACGAATTTTCAGCTGAGACATGTTTACAGGGAAGCTAATGGAGTAGAAGACGGTTTGGCAAATTGTGCTGTGTTGGATGGTGCTTCTTCGGATTTCTCTGTAGGAAGGCAGCTTCCTTTAGCAGTAAAGATGGCTCTGCTACAGGATCAGAAAGGTTTACCTGCGCTTTGGGTTAAGAAACTGTTTGATGATAAGGGCTAAGTGTGAGGCTGTGCATCGTGTAGGGTGGTTTCTGGATGTGTTTAGAAGGCCTGCTGTGGATTTCAAATTAAAGACATGTTTTTGGCTTGTTTGTTATTTTGTCTCTTCTTGGTACATGTTTTGTTGTGGAGGTTGTAAAAAGCAGGCATGTCTGCTCTTAATTCTTTGTAATTTTTTTAGAATGGAATAAAATTTGATTTTTTTTTAAATATATATATATATATTTTAGTAGCTTGAAACCCATTTCAACAAGCTTATAATATTGATACCAACATCTTTATGAGCATTCCAGTTCTATGTATGTGAATAATGTGACTAAGATGTGATTTCTCATAGTAGTTAAGTTTTATTTGTTATCTCTATCATTAGATTGATATGAATCTCACTTACTTTAATCTGGTAATATATAAATGTATAAATAATAACTTTCAATTTTATTCACATTTCGGAGTTGAAGTTAACTACAGATTTTTGGATACGAGTACAAAATATATAAATTGTGTATTTTTTTTATGTGTACTATTTTTAGAGGGAATTTTGCCATTTTTTTTTAAAAAAAATAGTGGCCTTAGGTTGATTTTAAATCTTGATACAACTAATGCTCAATTTTCTTTGTATTATACAGTGCCTTCAGGCACGAGTTGTGGTGGTATGGTGAATTATGATTGAAAATGATTGTTATGTATGATTATAAGTTCTGTAGACAATTTTAAATTTTTATGGGTTCTTATTTTTAGAGAAAATTTTGTCAAAATTTTTGGATAATAGTATAAACTACTTTGATTTCAAATTGACAGGTTATTTTTGTTGCAAAGAGTCTTTAAGTAATGTAGTATTTTTTAAATTTGAATTTAATTTTTTGTTATGTCGTACATTCAGGCACAGGCAATTACTAGTCTATAAACAAGTCATGTCATGTATTTTTTTCATTAATTTCACTCATACCTAATTCGTTTATTAATAGTATCATGTCGGGTCTACTCATTTACGAAACCGATATCTTAAAAAAAACTCAAATTCTCTAATTTCGTATCGTATTAACGGAATCGTGGTAATCACGTTCTTTCAGCTTTCAGCTACTCCTCAATGAAGGTAAAAGGCAAACCCCCATCTTTTGACTTCTACTCATGAACTTATTTTAAGTGGTGAAAACAATTATTATACTTGTTAAAAAGTCATGTAAACGAGTCAACCCAAAAATTACTTTTTTTTATCTTTTTGGTTTGAAGTGCTTATGATCAATAACTACTTTTTGAAATCATCCTGCGCACCACCTTAGTCAGTGTGTAGATGAGTTTATACAGAAGTTCATCTGTACAGTCTGGTTTATGTGTCTGTTTGGGGGTTCTGGATCTGAATTGGGTTTATTTAGTTGTCGAATTTGTGTTTATTTATTTTTTTTGGAGGGGAGGGAGAAAGGGCTTAAATCTTTAATCTCAAGAAAACAAAACATTCACAAGGTAAGAAGTACCATTACATCTAAGTCCCATTGGTTAGATGTCGAAAAATGGAAAGAATGGAATATCTATCTAATATTAGAGTTAGTCTTATAAAAATATAACAATGGTCAAGATGGATCCAATTTTTATCTACTTTAATCTAATGGTACAAAATTTATCCTAAAACGTTTTTTCCCTCCCAAAAACATTAACTTTTCTGCATTGCTCTAATGTCAGATAACTCAATCAATACATAAACATAGTCCCTAATGTCAAGCAGTCTCATCAATTCACACTTACCTCTCTCTTCATTTTAATTTTAAATTGTGTAATTAAAAAAAACTAAATTGCTATTTAAAATATAAATATTACAAGACTAATATTCGTTTTTTGTTATTGCATATTTTCAGGCACGAGATTATCACTAGTATACATATTGATGAGTCCAGAATTTATTGGATCAGACTCACTAAATCAAGTAAACCCAAATCAGCTAAAAGACAGATCAAGCCTTGTTCGTAAATTCGACCCAGCCTAAGGCCCAAAGAGTCCAAGAAAATTAAAGTACGTTGAGAACAATAATTGGGATACCCATTCTCAAAAATTAAGACAGTCTTTGATTGTACTTATCTTTTTATAACTATCCTCCCTGAAGGACTAGTGCCTTTATTTGCATAGGACCGTTTTGTTCATCATCACATATAATTCTTACATTGAAGTGTGTGGCCCTTTGATTTTGTTTTCTTGGATGGAAATTAAAAGTAAGATCTTGTAAAGAATTTATATTCATAGCAATATTCATGTGTTCAACAAGTCATAATCTTATTTGATAGAGCTTCTAACTTAATAATAGCGCAAAGATTAAGATCAGAACTACATCATATGTTTGTGGTGGGAAGAATGTCTTTTAAATGAAAGACTACAAGCCTATGAATAAGCAGGGGAGCATCAACAACCATGTAGATATCTAGAAATCCTTTACCCGAATGAAAAAGGAGTGAAAGAAAGACCTTAACTGTAGGACAAAATAGAATCCGAAAGATAAAGTGTACAGACTAAGTTAATTTCTTAAGATGATTGACGCTCTTTTATGAAAAAAAACAGTGTAGAAGGTAACAAAATGTCATCCCAGGATACAAATAATCCAGCCAATTGACTGTTACTTCACACAAATCTATACAATCGAATACAACAGAAGCTTCACACGACACCTATTAATTTTTGCTCAAAAGCTTATGCAATAGAGGAGAATGTAATAGATATTCAGATTGTACATTTCTATAATGAACTATGTAAATATATATACAAAAAATATAGGTTTTTAATATTTCATAATTACTCCCATATATAATTCAATAATAACTATTAAAATTAAATAAAAAAAAATAATTTTTGAATAATTAACCGTTAGAACTTTTGGAATATTCAAATATTGAAATTTCAATAGAAGAATTATGACAAAAAATAATTAAATAAAATATTAAAAAATAGATTTAATACTAATTAATATTTTTTTTTCAATTTAGGCGAGCCAAAGGGACCCGCTACCCCGGTGTAGACTAAACTGGTCAATGTGTTTTGTAAACATTAGTCTCCTCCACTTGTCCCACCCTTGCACATGTGAGAATCTCAAAGTCTCACTTTAACTCAAAGTCTAGATAATACTAACATATATACATACTCAAGTAGTTTTAAAAGTTTAATTGACGTGGAATTAAATTCTCACACAAAAAACACTCTTTTGTTTAAAATACTCTAACATTAACATTCAAGGATTTGTTTAAAATACTCTAACATTAACATTCAAGGAATGAACTCTACATCAATGGGTTTAAAATTTGAAGTTCAAGTTTTATATGGAATATTGAGTCAGTTAAAATCGATGGCTAATGATCTTGACTCTTAGGCGCGCGTCCATAATGAGTACTTGAGGGCATCCATGTTCTAGATGAGAATATAGCGGTCTACAGAAAACTTCACAGAGACCTAAGAAGTCCAGCCTAGACTTCCAACCATGAATACGAGACATGAACGCGAAAGACAAACTTACATGGAGGGGTAGGAAGTCCAGTCCAAGGCTGCAAATAAATGACTATGTATTAGTTGAACCATACTAGGAGAGGTACGATAGGATAGGAGTCCAGTCCAAGGCTGCAAATAACTGATTATGTATTAGTAGAACCATTCGTGAAAATAGACCACGATGACTTGGTTCAAAGCACCTTCATTGGGCTTTAGTAATCTTTTCTAGTACTCCAGTTTGTGCAAATGGAAGAATGATGCCAAAGCATAGTTGACGACCCAGGAACCGCATGTCTCGTGCCCTATCATATCACCGACGGTACCGGTAGCGTTTGAAGTTGAAATATACACGTAAGATTCCTCGTTCAAACGTGCACTTGAATCCCTTCTTGTGAGAATATTCCCATTCTTTGTTCACAACTCGGAATGCCTATATTAAGATGGCAAGAAACAGAGTCACTTCGTTTTTCAAGTAAAAAAATTCAACCAAAAAATCAGCTAATAGACTAAGACAACTTACGATGTCCTCATTAGGAGGGCCCGCATGAAACCTTAATGCGAGTCTCAGCACTAGCTCCATCCTTCTCTATGGTAAAACTAAGAGCTTTTGTTTTGTCGACAAGATCCAGGTAGAAAATATTGAATTTGTACCCTTGCATGATATTTGGAGGTGGATTGTCATGGTCAGAGTGAGTTTGATTGTACTTGTTCCACTCATACCCAGTGTGAACACGGTTAAAGTACTTTGGCTTCCTGGGGCGGTATTTGTCATGCCACCAGTACACCTGCATCCACATTAATGGTGCTTGTGTGAAAAATACTCTGTTATCCAGAAGCAATAATAGGGGAAGCAGACCAAATATGGGATACCTGTTAATCAAGGTTTACTTCATCACTCGAGCCAAATACTGCATCGCCTACTTCCATGGCTCCCATAGCTTTCATGGCTTTCATCTCCAAGTCATCTTCAGATGGAGTTGGCCTTGAAGCCATTGCTTCTTGGATTCGCCTTTGTTGTTCTTCCAAAACAGCTATACGTTTCCTTTCCTGTTAGGCACCATAATATACGTACAGGTTTAGCATATTTTTCCATATAAAATCAGTCAATGAGTGACAAAAGATGACATCTACAGGCAAGTTACCAGTATAGCCCTGTCCTCCTTGGGGTCAATTGCTTCATCATTTTCATTACCATGCAACAGCTCTGGCAAAAATGATCCAGCCTCCTCTTCTTCCTCATGAAACTCTTCATCCAATATGGGTTCTGGAGAGAGAGCTTGAGCATCTGTGCAGAAGGACTATTAGCTTACCATTCCTTATGCCAAAGTACAAAAACACACCAGCTATGAAAAAAATCCATACCCTGATCAGACTCGTCCTCTATAGGCCTTGAATCCTGATCCTCTTCCAAAGTATCTTGGCTTCCCATCTGTTGCTCGAGGCGTTCCAAATGCTTCCGCAACATTTTGCATGAATTTCCTTCAGACAAGCCTGTAATTATATAAATTAGGTGTTGAGATCCAACTCAAGAGAACATAAATACAAAGGAACTCGAGAAGAGTAAACGATGTACCTTTGCCTTGTAGATGTGGAGACGTTTGAGAACAGGAATGTGTTTGAATTTTATCCCAGTCATATTTTTTCCCTTAAAATCATCACCAATCATTTTTCTTACCCATCATCCATTTGTCAGACTCAAATGTCAAGTCACATCACTCATTTCTATCACATATTTAATCATTTATATATTTCCTCCCTAAAAATATCACACAACTCATTTCTATCATATATTTAATCATTTAATATTTAATTAATTTATAATTAATATATTTTGAAAAAATTTAATATAGTGGAATCGATTTTTTGAACGCTCGAATTTTATATTTTATCGTGCCTTCAGGCACGGATTATGACTAGTATATATATATTATACATGTATATATATATATATAAAACTATATTATATAAATATAATATAATAATATATATATATAAGTATATTATATACATATAAAAACATGTATATTTAAATATATACGTATTGTTCTCCTTAGTTCCAAAATTTTCAAAAAAAATTCTAAAAACAAGCTAAACTTGTTTTCTGTTTATTTGACTCAAATCTCATTTTTTTCCCAAAATTTAGAGAACAAAAATGCTAAACAAACAGGTTTTGGGTGTTTTTAAAATTTTGAGAACAAAAAACTGTTTTGCAGACGCAAACCAAACATGGCCCAGGATTTATGTTCTTTCTTTTGGCAAACAGTAGTAAGGCATTACGAAAGAAATGATCGAAAAAAATGTAATGGCAATGGCTGCTTGAATTTTCAACTTCACGAATTGCATAAGACAAAAAGACAACCTCAAAATTGATTTTTCTACAACCAAGGGAGACTGATATAGCCCCACTAGGAAGAGTTATATGCAGCCCTGTTTAGTGTTTTTTGAGGATTTTTTATGTTTTGATTCTTATTCTGCATCTAATTTAAGAGTTAGATATCAAGAAAAAATTGTGTATAGACTATGAGTTAGTCCAATGAATTATAAACTGTCCTTAGGGAGGCTGGGGATCAATCTCTTTTAAGTATAAGCCATTCTTGCCTGAGTGAAATTATGGTCAATCATTTCCTCCTTGTAATCCGTTATATGTATGTATGAGTATATGAATGACTAATCAAGAACCTGGAAAGACAGACTGCTTTTTGGCTTATAAAGACTTGTCCACTGCTGGAAAATTTTCCCTTCTTTGCCTATTTGGACTCCTTTAGCTGTCCAAAGAAACAGTTCACAGCCAATATACATAGCAGCAGTCTTGGCTACATTATTTGCTCAACTGCAGATCAACTTGCTTTAATGCAAACTGTAAACAAAAGATTAAAGTACAATTGTATCCAACAGCTTGCTCCACAAACCCACTGACCTTTTCGGAATTATATTTTGCAGGACAGCCAGGTAATCAAAGATATACTATCTTAAAAATCATGCAGAAAGTATGTGCAATGCCTTAACTAGATGCGATGGTATCAGACAACTACACGACACCGGAAACCGGAGTTCCCTTTTAACAACGATGGCTATCCTTCTTTCCGAAAAGGAATGAGTCTCATGTAACATTTGCAAATTTCAGGAAGCATTCTTGCACGACATCAAGTATTTTGACGTTCACGATATTGTAAGATGGATCCACAATGAGCCAAAAAGGACCAAAACGAGCCGAAACACATAAATAGACAAAAGAAAAAGAGATTACCTACCAATACTGTATATGTGCTGGTGTTGCCCTCTCTAAATCCAGATGCATTTTTATGTCCTCATGAAGCTCTTCCATTTCTTTTGCTGTCAAACCCTGTAATACTCAAACATATGAAAATTGTCAGGCTCAGCAAAAATATTTAAAGACAAAATAAGGATCGAAACAGGTCAAAAGAATCCTAGCAATTATGAAAAATGAAATATTAATTTCGTGCTCATTTTTAACATAATTACCTCATAAAAGCTTCTTACACAGAAAATGAAAGAAAATTAAGAATGATACTAATAAAAGTAATCGTAACAATTTCTTAAATCACACCAATAAGAAAACTATTATCAGGAAGAGATTCGAATTTACAACATGAATGCACCAACATAAGCCCACTGCTTATTGTTTTATTTTCGAAAATTGCAAAAACAAAATACAGAGACATATCTGGCTTCATTTTTTCATAAAGCAAACTTCCACACAGAAAAAAGTATTCTTGTGTTGTCCATTCATGTCGGCGAAACTGTCGGGCCATACATTTAATTAGGTCCACCTGTTAATACCTCTTAGCAACACAGCATCTTCTCAGCCCTATGTCTTGGCCTCCCCACAAAGCATCTTCTCAGCCCCATGTCTTATCCTCCTTATCCTCTATCCACGGCCCTTCATAATCGCCAAAAAAAGTAATCAACCACCAATTCATGCAGTTTTTCAATCTGGTCAACCAAATATGCAATCACCACCATCCAATCTGATTTCATGGCCAGGCAATCCATTCAGTACACTAGCATCAAATTGCAGCCTTCACACCAGCCTCGGCCACCACCACCTAAACCCACAGGCAATCCATTCAGTACAACCCAAATATTTTTCATTTATCATGACTTTGAAATGGTAAATCATGCAACATTAGGCCACCACGATCTTCTCTTAGGAAAGCTTTATTCCCGTAGAGGTTCTGCCCAAAGTTGTTAGTATAGTACGATACGCGATACGTATCGTACGATACGTTACGATACAGCCCTAAAACGATACGGATCGTAGTTATGTATCGTTTTTGCGTTGTATCGTCCGATACACGATACGTTTTTACGATACGATACGTATCGGTACGATACGCACGATACGTGCAATTTTTTTTTTTTTTTTTTTAAAAAAAACGACGTCGTTTTGTGCTCTGATTTTTTTTTTAAAAAAACGACAAGTGAAGACTTGTTGGCATCCGATCACAATGATGATGATGATGATGCATTTTCAATTGAAATTGAAGATTGAGTTCAAAATGGATGTTAGAAATTTGGATTAGAAGTCTCTTTGGTGTTTAAAGTTTGAATTAGTGAACTATGGTTGTGAACTTTGCATTATAATAGTAGTGGATTATGTTGATAACTTGAATAGTTGGTGGAGTATTAATGAAATGCTATATTTTTTATGAGTGTATGACTTTTTTTCAAAGGTATATATATTTTTTTATTATTTATTTAAAATTGCATCGTATCTTACGATACACGATACGATACAATATTTGTATCTTAAGATACGCCTTCCGATACACGATTTGATAACTTCTGCCCCACATAACACCTCAAATTATCCCAGTATACTTGATTTTCTTTTAAGTTTCCACCATTGAATTTCATAATGAAGTTTAACAGTCTTAGTAATTGCTACCTTATGCTAGCTCACACCTTAAAAGATAAAAAGCATGGTCATAACCATCCAATAAGCATCACATAATAGAACTGGATAAACTTCATGCTAAAATAGCAGCTTTTATTGCTAAATCCACCATTTTTTTTTCACAGCCCTAACCCTATGTACATTTACTCATTGAAAAGGATGCATTCTTATTTTTTCCCAAGATACAATTGAAAAATTCAGCAGACGCAATTTTAAAAAGCGTGTCCTCATTAAGAAAAAGAATTTCAAAATTGCTTACACGGACCCTTTAAGTGAAGGCACACACTTGAGGCTTTGAATGAAACAAGAAAGCAGCAGCATGTATCACTTGTGTATGTTAGGTTAAACCATAAACTAACTCAATGCATATGAAGGATTTGACTTAGCTTAAATCATATACTAACGCATAGGAAGAATTTGACATACTTTTCATTCAGATTGGAATCGCCAAATGGATTTGAATCATTCGAATACCCTGATACGGTCTGCGACTTCAATTTCTTCGCTACTTTCATCGCCTAAACCACAATATATGTCATTAGCCAAGGACAAACCCAAGAAATCCCACAAGATTTTTACAAAAAAAAAAAATTTGATTATTTTCACCTTTTTCTGAGCTTTTTTTGCCATGTACTCTGCAATATCTTCCTCGAACTCGACCTCTTCTGATCACTTTCATCGTCCGAGTCCCTCGACCTCCGCCGGCTACTCCTCCTTCTACTTTGCCGTTTGCGACTCGGTGGAGATGAGTCACGGCTGTCCGCATCCGACGCCGACAGGGAGTCAGGCTCGGATTCTGAGTCGTCCGAGGGGGTTCGTCGTCGTCTGCGTCTGGAATGGGATGACATCGTTTCTCTCTCTGTTTTGCTTACGTTCCGAGAGTGCCCTTTGTTCAAATCATGAAAATAACATTTGCAACGCCATTCGAGCTTAGATCTTAAGGCCTATCATCCCAAACCTGCTTCAAATCTCTTTGTTATTATAATTTCTAATAAGACCAATGCAATGATATAATTATATTTTTGTTAATCCATTATCTGGCATAGGCAAAGAAACTATACATACGAGTACTGTTTGGGTAAGAACATGGATGAACTAATTGCCTTGAAAGTCCTTTGGTCTAAATTACTTTTATTGTGTGCTCATTTCTTTAAATCAGTGGCTTCATCACCATCACAATCAACCTATAAAAAATCAAAGTTTCATTCAATGTGTAAAATATAGCATTATCAATCAAAGTTTCAATGTATATTCAATATTGTATACAAAATAAAAATCAAAAATCAGATATAGCATAGAGAGTCAAAGAGACGAGAGAGAGAACGACCGAACGAAAGAGAGTATGTACCTACTGCTATTAGTCGTCCATGCCTCGATGGAGCTCCAAAGCAGCTTACTCCTTCGAATTTCGAAAGTTTCTTCCACTTCTATCGAGTCTTTTGGTTTTTCTTGCTCGCAGTGCAGCAGAGAGAGACTGAGACTGAGAGAGAGAGAGAGACAGACAGACAGACGGGGTCCAGCTCCTCTGAGGTAGGGGAGGTTAGTAGGTTACCACATATCATGAGGTTTAACAAAACGGCGTCGCTTTGTGTTCTTTTTGCAATTTTTTTTTTAATTTCCCCTTACCAAAACGACGTCATTTTGGTCCTTTAAATCAGCTTCAGACCCTTCCCTTTTCTTTCCCCCGCTTCTTCTTCGTTAGGTCTGGTTCTTTGTTCACCTTACTATAGCTTCGACGTCTTTTTTTTTATGTCCCCTTATTATAGCTTCTTTCTTTTTTTCTAAGGTTTCCAAAAAGTCTCCGATTCTCCAATCAAAATTCTCCGTACAACTTGAGTTCTAATCTGAGACATTGAATTATTTCTTAGATTCAGAGGATTTTCCAATCTCGTTCTCGTAGGAGCTCGTGATTTGATGGTTCAGTTAATAAGATCGGATATGCTTACATTTGGGAACAGCAACAATTTGCCGTTGAAGCTAGAGATCGTTGACTCCTTAGAAGAAGAACACGGATCTTTGAATAAACGGTCGAAATCTTCATCAATGTCACCTTTTGATCAGATTTATTTAATTTGAATCTTTTTTTTATAATTAATTTTCTGGTAGTCAATGAGAAAATACAGGAAAGAAAAGGATAATAAAATTTTGTAAGTTGCAGGGTCTGTTTTTTAGCTGAGAAAATTGGGGCTTTGACGATAGCGAAGGTAAGAGAAAGAAAAGGGAGGGGTCTGTTGCTGATTTAAAGTACCGAAACGATGTCGTTTTGGTAAAGGAAAAGTAAAATAAAAATTGCAAAAAGAACACCAAACACCGCCGTTTTATTAAACGGTAACCTCTCCTACCGCATAGGAGCCGGACCCGACAGACAGACTAACGTTGAGAGGGCTGTGATGTGAACATCCAACGTCGCGAAGACGAAGAGAGCAGAGGCGCAGATCAAAGACGAAGAGGCAGGGCTGGGGACGATTTAGGGCAAAATGCCCAAAAGGATCAAAACTCAGCCATTTATACTAAATTAAGAGAACCGTTCGGTTCGATTAAACTCGTTCGATTTGAACGGTTCAACAGTTTTTATCCAGTTCAATGAGTTTATTCCGAGTTTAATGCACAAATAATCTGATTGGTGAACCGGTATCTAAAGACCCAAATGGATTCAGATTGAATTTAAAATTTGATCTGATCCATCAGCAAGTCTGCTCATGGCTTTAATTATTCAGGGACTAGTTGTAGATCATGATTCTGAGTTGAAGAAATTGAGTTGTAATTTAGGTTATTTGAACTTTAATTTAACCTCGTTAGTTATAAATATTTGGACTATAGACCCAAGGTAATTTACTTAATGTCCTAAATATTTAAAATAAGCGACCCAAAATTGACTATTAATTTCTCTAGAAATCAAAATGCAGAAAAGCTAGAGACAAATAGATCTTCAAAAGACGGCCAACAAAAAGAAAAAAAAAAATTGGACATAAGTAGATAAACTTAAATAAACCAATCTAGAAAGAATTTCCTTGGGTTCGCTTGGTTAAAGGTTCGTTTGTTTAGCGATATAATGATAGAAAATATAAAAAAGAGACAGAAAAAAAATAATTGTTAATGCGAGAAAGAGACCCAAAAAAAAAATCTAACTTTTTGAGTTTTAATTTCCACTCCTAAAAATTTTCTTATAAACTATGTAATTATTTTCCATTTTAAGATAAATTAGAAACCCAAGGCTCTATCTCGTTCCGGAATGCAATTGGCTTAAGAAACGCAAGGAACTCACGGTCTGGCAAGAAAACATATTTACAATTCAAGAGAAAGAGGAGATGGGGAGGTGGATGGAGACGGGAGTTTAGGGGTGTGAACTCTAACCCGTTAATGCGAACTCGACACAAACGATTATAAAATTGACACGATTATTAAATAGACATCATAAATAATTTAGGCTAATGTTTAATGTTCAGAATACACTAAATAAAATTTTTTGTAGGTTTTGATACGAACACGATACGAATAACAATGACACGATATGAATAATACGACATACAAATCACATAAACATGACACGATTGACACTCTACTGGAGTTGAAGTTCTTGGGAGATGGGGGACAGATGGTGGATATGTTGGTTGATGGGTTGGTTATGAGACTACTAGCTAATGGGACCAGTGATGAAGAAGGTGATTTGTGAAGTGCTTACAAAATTGGACAAAAATATGTCATAGACTCGTATAACATTCAAGAAAAGAAAGGGTATGGGCTAATAAGAAGTATACTAACATTTTCTATATATAAAAAAAAAATCCTCTTGTCCAAGTTCTTGCAAAAAAAATTATTTTCCTTTCACTTAGACGGATCCTCAGTTGCTCCAATATGTTCATTCACTTCAAACAAGGTTTCCCAATTCCCAGACACGTTTGAATTTACAGAATTGAAATGACATATTGCATACCCCTGAGTTAAGGTAGCTTGCTCAATAGATTTTGAGTTGTAGATCGAGAGAGTGAACCAAAATCTACCCTCAATCAGCAACCAAGGATTCCACAAACCAGAAACTTGGAATTTTACAAGTCTCGGCCACCAAAATATCAAAAAGCGAACAATAGAGTATCTTACAAACATGAACATTGTCAACAAGAAGCCAGCTCTAGAAGATTTTACCTTCACTACAATACTCACCAGCTCAAGCATGAGCAGTCAACAACACTGTTTTACTTCCAATGTCTAAAATTTGATTGTACACCCATAGAAGCAAAGATGATTTACAACGTTTGCAACGAGTCAAAATGGAGAACCATCCTAGGAGGTGAAAGCTGACTGTCCATATAGGTTAAGAACAACGGAGGTCGGGTTTACCAGCAACCAGAATGAAGTAAGAGACATATTGCCACAACAGATCAATATTCATTAAACATGAATAATACAACAATGGCAGGCTGATTGTTCTAACAAAAAATCAGCCAAGCCTACCTACATCATACAAAAGAATGGGGTTTTGATACACTTGAAATAATTGTGAGTAAAAGGAGATACTCAAATTAAGAGTAAAACCCCGTATATATAGGCAAAATATAAAAATCATAGTAAGGGTAAAAAAGGGAAAAGAAATCCTAAAGGGAAAAGAAATCCTAATAAACCTAGACTATCTATACTCCAACACTCCCCCTCAAGCTAGGCGCAAAAATGTCAACTAAGCCAAGCTTGACAACGGAGTCCCGAAGAATAGACATAGTGACAGGTTTGGTAAAAACATCCGCAACTTGATCACTGGTCCCCACAAACGATGGAGTAACAAGACCACTGCTGACCTTCTCCCGAAGAAAATGAACATCGATCTCTATATGCTTCGTTCTCTCATGTAGTACAGAGTCAGAAGCGAGCTGAATAGCAGATTGATTATCACAATATAATGTGGATGGAGAGGTCACTGAAAAACCCAACTCGTCAAGAATCGATCGTAGCCAGATAATCTCACATGTGCCAAGTGCCAATGCCCGATACTCTGCCTCTGCGGACGAGCGGGAGACAACTGCCTGCTTCTTGCTCTTCCAAGAGATAAGATGAGTCCCTCGAAAAGCACAGAAACCCGTAGTAGATCGACCATCACATGCTCCCCCATAATCTGAATCTGAATAACAGGCTAGAGAACCGGTCTGAGATCCTGATGCATAAAACAACCCAAGTCCAGGACAAGACTTGAGGTACCGAAGAATATGATAAACTGCATCAAGATGAGGCTGACATGGCCTATGCATGAACTGACTAACTCGGCTGACTGCGAATGAAATGTCCGGCCTAGTATTGGCTAAGTAGATAAGTCTACCTACCAATCTTTGATAAACTGTCGGATCTTTCAACTCCTCACCTTCAGCAGTAAGCTTCAGGTTTGGAATCATAGGTGATGATGCCGGTTTGCACCCCAACATCCCAGTGTCTGAAAGAAGATCCAAAACATACTTTCTCTGAGAAAGAACAATACCTCTGCTTCTACGGGCAACCTCAATCCCAAGAAAGTATCGTAGAAATCCAAGATCCTTCACATCGAAGGCCTTCCCAAGGTCTATCTTGACCTGTGCAGTCCCAGAAACATCATCACCAGTAATAATAATATCATCAACATATACCAGAAGGATGACACACTGTCCAGAAGTATTCCGTCGAATAAAGCAGGTATGATCAGAATGACACCTGGTGAACCCCAATCGTATGACTACATCACTGAAGCGAGAGAATCAGGCTCGTGGCGACTGTTTCAGTCCATAAAGAGACTTACGCAGTCGACATACCTTTCCAGCATACTCCCCTCACCACGAAAGCCCGGTGGTGCATCCATATAAATAATCTCGTCCAGATCACCGTGAAGAAATGCATTCTTCACATCTAATTGATGAAGAGGCCAAGAGTACTCCGCAGCCAGAGAAATAATTAACTGAACAGTAGTCAATTTTGCCACGGGGGCAAATGTAGCACCAAAATCACGACCTGATACCAACTTGAAATAATTGTGAGTAAAGTCCTTCGCCACAAGTCTAGCCTTGTAACGATCAATAGTACCATCCGTAAAAAACTTCAGGGTGTAAACCCAGCGACAGCCAACAGGCTTCACCCCTGAAGGTAAGGAGACAAGATCCCATGTATGATTACGCTGAAGAGCGTCCATCTCTGTCTGCATGGCAA